TTTTTTTGAGATGGCGTCTTGCTCTGTTGCCCAGGCTGGAGTGCAGTGGCACAATCTTGGCTCACTGCAAGCTCCACCTCCCGGGTTCATGCCATTCTCCTGCCTCAGCCTCTCGAGGTAGCTGGGACTATAGGCGCCCACCATCACGCATGGCTAATTTTTGTATTTTTATGAAGCAAGATTTTACCATGTTGGCCAGGCTGTTCTCAAACTCCTGACCTCAGGTGATCCGCCCACCTCAACCTCCCAAAGTGCTGGGATTACAGACGTGAGCCACCATGCCTGGCCTATAGCTTCATCTGTTAACACTTCTCCTAGTCCCTGTGATTCTTGATAGTACCTAATATGGCTCAGATACAACCATAAACCTTCCCACTACCCTGGAATAGGCTTCATCTCCGTAAAGGATGTGAACTCACATCTCACATAAACCTCACTGTGAATGCTCACATTCTCTCCGACTTCACAATATTTATTCTTCTTTTTCCCAGTGTGAAAATGGTGCATGGTAACGAAAATCTTTTTCAGTTTATATCATACCATCTGTCCTACAAGCAGCAAGATTTAGTTATTCCTCTTGCTTCAAGCATAATTTGAAACCTTCTGAGATCTCTCTACAATCCAGACCTTTCACCAAACCAGAATTCTGTATTTTCAGCTGTACAGGACAGTTGTGTAGGGCAGTGTTCTATATAGGACAATATCTGAAGATACATTCCTCCATCCATTCTTGTCTAGACTGTAAGTTCCATGGGTTGTTACCACCCAGCCCTCAGCACATTGCTAGATACAGCAACAAATATTTTCATGAATTAATGACTAGTGTCTACAATTCCAAGTCTTTATCCTGTTGCCCTTTCCTAACTCCATTGTCTTTATAAATATCATTCTGTTTACATATTCACAGATTCTAAACCTATAGTCATATATTAAAAATCCCAGTTTTTCACATTAGACTTAAAAATCTTGAAATCATCTTTGAGCCTATCCTATTACTAATTTTTCTCCATTAACATTTCCTTGTATACCTCTTTACCCTCCCTTTTTAAAAAATTCCTTTTCCCTTTACCTTAAGACAACCCACTTCTATAACTCTTTTTTTTTTTTT